ACGGTCGAATGCCTTCTCCAGATCCACGCAGCACATGTGGACTGGTTGGGCAAACTCCCATGAACTCTCCGCCACCTTGAAGAGGGTATAGAGCTGGTCCAGTGTTCCACGGCCAGGACGAAAACCGCATTGTTCCTCCTGAATTCGAGGTTCGACTATCGGTCGAATTCTCCTCTCCAGTACCCTGGCATAGACTTTCCCGGGGAGGCTGAGGAGTGTGATCCCCCTATAGTTGGAACACACCCTCCGGTCCCCCTTCTTAAAAAGAGGGACCACCACCCCGGTCTGCCAGTCCAGAGGCACTGTCCCCGACCGCCATGCGACGTTGCAGAGGCGTGTCAACCAAGACAGCCCAACAACATCCAGAGACTTAAGGTACTCAGGGCAGACAGAGGACTCTAAATGTGCACACAAATACACAACGGTGTAGCTACAGAGCATGAATAATTCATGTGGACTGAAGCCTGGTTTTACAGTAGAAGAATTTACCATCAACTTGGTTTTAAAGCCGAACTGAATATGCAGAGGAGACTGATGCAGGGGCCTGTCACATAATCACACAGCCTTTCTTTACATTTGCATTAGCTCAGCGAAACGTATCTGGCCTGTTACTGTTGGTTTTAACTGCTTTCCCACTCATCAACGTGCACACATAGTGTGTGTTTGCATACATTATGCAGGCACTGCTCACATGCTGACTGTATTTCCCAAAAGTTCTGATGATTTGACTACAACTTCAATGTTAATTTTATGATTAATTAAAAATGAATCTCCAAAATGTAAAAAAAACTAAAAACTAAAGTGAAATGTGTTTTCAGAGCTGTGGAACAACATATCTTTGGCTTTGTTTCTGAATAAATAATTTAAAATGATTAATGAACTGTCAAAGTAGTTGAGGATTAATTGTTTCAGTAATGTGTTCTAGCTTATTGTGAATTTTAGTGTTTATGAGTACAACAACCTGAATGTTGCTATTTTCTTTCTATATCTGTTAATTTAACCTTTGTACCTCCAGCATAAATTAGCATGTTGCTAATTCTGTTAGAGTTCATGTAACTGCCACTGCCTCTGACAAATGAAGAACTGAATAATAAATTATTATTATTATTATTTTCAGCTTTTGAGAGAGACTGGATGGTGTTTCCTTGGCTGTGGGGAAGCATTACTTCCTCTGTGCCAGGATGATGGATAAGCCAGCTGTCCACTGCAGCACCTCCTCTACACCTTCAGCGTGGGTGAGACAGAAAGAGGAAGAGGAGAGGGGTGAGCGATACAGTTGGGAGAAAGAGAGAAAATGATGTGGCTAAAAGTGCATCAAGAGGGAGGAATAGAAGAAGGTATGGAAAAAAGTAGGCCTTGTTAACGTGAGGTGCTATAGCTGAAGATTCTGAAATATACCCAGGAGATCCCTCTGTCTGTGCTCTTTATTTCTCTCACTCACACACACAATATCTTATATTTGATGAGCAAACTGTACCTCTCCCCCCGATGCCCCCGTATACTGTCTAACACACACCTTCTGTCCTTCACTCCACACATTTTCTCTTTCTTTCTCTTTCTCTCTGTGCCTGTCTACCTCTCTGTGTCAAGCTAAAATAAGCATATCAGGCACTGGCGGAGGAAGCTGCTCTCTCACCTGGAACAGCTCAAACTCATCCCACACACACACACATACTGTACACACAGTGCTACATTGACCAGCAGGTATTATAATGGCCCCTGCATTGATAAGACCCTGCAGTGGTAATGATGCCTCATTAAACAGCTGGTATTACTGAGTGGGTATCATTTTCAGTCGGAGAGGGTTTGGCTCAGTGCCTAGTGTGGCCCTCATTACATTACATTCACATGTGACCTGAAGTGAACAAGAGGTATGGGGATATACTGTATGGCTCCAGTCAGGCAGTCAGTCTCCCTCTATTACCCAAGCAGCCTGTTGTCATTGTCTAGCTAATAGAGTTTAACCAATTTAAAAAAAAGTAAAGAATCTGCAACTGGTAGACACTTGTGTCCTTTCTTTCTCTCTCCCTTTCTTTGGATGCCTTTGTGTCTCCGCATTTAAAGTGCTTCTCTCATAAACTGCTGGGTTGCAACAAGACAACATTTACATTTTCTGTATACCTTGACTCATCAGCCACACTAAGACATCCAAGTTCTTAAACACTCATTAAAGTTGGTTTAAGCTCCAGAAGATGAAATTAAACCCTGTCTGACAACCCACAGGCACATACTGTACTTATAGCACTTCCTATTGCATGGCCTAAAACACACACACACTTTCATATAAACATCTTATCCACAATCCTTACAATCAATTTCTGACTTGTTTCATTTGTTCCTACAGTATAGCTTCCTGTAATCACTGTGGACACTGTGTTCAGAGATGTTCATTGACAGATGTGCAAACTCACATATACTGTTTCAGTACAAAAGAACTGTGCAATGACTAAAATTTGTACAGTTGAGGAGATTTTCGTCCATATTAGCTCTGCTGAACAACTAACGTTAGTCACAATGGAAGCTAGTTTGTAGTGCTGGATTGCACAGTTTTTTGTTTAAGTAGCAAATATGATATGAAGCTGATTTTCATCCTCAGACTCATGTTAGACATTTTCTTTGAGTAGTTCTTACATTATTTTCTAGATTCTTCTGTTCAAATACAAGCTTAAAGGCTTTCTAAAGTTGGTTTCAAATACCTTCTCATGAAATTGTGTGTGTAGGTGTTCCTAATATTCTGACCCTCTCATGCTTGTAGATGTGGAGGACAAAAAAAAAAGGAGATTCCTCTAAATATAATGTAGCCCACTACAACACCACCTTTAATTGTGACATAAATAATAAACATATAATTGAATTTATACATTTATGACAATTTCACCAAAAATTGGAACATTTTGAGATTCTTAAAGACAGATGTTAAGGTGGAAGTGTTGCATTGAAGTGCATACAATTGTACAGGTGTACCTAATAAAGTGGCTGGTGCCATTAGCAGTGTCTGAAGGCCTTTACCTTCTGTAAACCACCACAGCCCTGCTGCAGCAATAATGGGAGCACTAAATTGCAATTGTGCATCCAGTGGATTACCGGTGAAGGACTGGTTCTTCCTACCATTGCTAACTCTGAGAGACGAGACAGTCCAAGTAACTTCAAAACAGCGCTGATCCACTCAAAGGATCACAGGCAAAATTAACATTACACGCTCAGGCATCTTGCACCT